GACTAATCAGTTTCAGCACTCAGGAATGTCTCCAAGGCCTGAACAGGAGTCCGTCCCTGGCTCGCCTCCTGTTAAACCCCACCATCTGGCTTCAAGGAGCTGGGGAGCATGGAGGAAGTAGGAAAGATGCTTTTATGCCTTTGCCTGTCCTAAGCCAGCCGGCTGTGTGTCCTTAGATCTCCCAGAATGTTTTCCTTGGCTTTGGTGTGTGCCTCTCCCGGCCCCATTTGGGAGAAAAGTAGTGGTGAGCACATGACAGGAGGGACAGAGATTTGTAAATATCTTCACGCTGTCTTCCAGTGCTCTGCAGGTGTGTCTAGAGAGACCCAGTTATAACAAGAAGCAAGAAGCAAGGGGTGGATGGGTGGGTAGGTGAGGGGACTAGAAAGAGTTGGCAGCGGTGCACACACTTGGTGGAGTGCTACTCCCTCTGTGCCAGCAGCTCATACTGTCCCTTTTATCCTGGGAGAAAGGCAGGGTGGACATCTTTAAAGGTACCTATAAGTGCCCCATACAACATAGTAGGAATGCCTCTACATAGCAGGGGCAAGCAAGAAGCCAGGGAATTCAACTCCGATCACCCCTGGCACCAAAGAATCGGGGGTCAGGGCAGAAAAGCTACTTCACCTGAATCTACATGCTATCCACCTTCTCTCAAGCTCTCAGAGACAGAGAGAGGTGTGGCTGTTACGTTATGTCGTCCCCATGTGGCAATCACTGTAAGTGAAGATATACATTGTGTAAAAACAGAGAAATCCTCCCTCCCCCCCAAAGAGGGGAGGGGGAAGTCATGTAAAACCTCATATACCAGGGCATGACATAATGTAACATCTGAATCTCTGCTCTGAAAGTTGGATGGAAGGTGGACTATATGCACCATTCCAATAGATTCTATGCTGTATATCCTTTTCTGCAACATTGTTAAGCACCAGGGCCCGGATAGCTCCTAAAACGAACGCACTGTATATAGTCACCTAAAATGCATTGGTAGAGGCAGTTTGGTGTCATGGTGAAGGCACCAGGCTAGAAACCGGGAGACCATGAATCCTAGTCCTGCCTGAGGCCCAAAGCCAGCTGGGGGACCTTGAGCCAGTCCCTCTCTCAGCCTAGGAACGAGGCAAGGGCAAACCACTTCTGAAAAACCTTGCCAAGAAAACTGCAGGGACTTGTCCAGGCAGTTGCCAGGAATCAAAAGAGGACTCGAAGGCACCAAAAAAAAAAAAGAAAAAAGAAAAAAAAGTGCAATGGTCCATGAGTTCAATTCCCAGTAAAAGGCTTGAGCCCCGTAGCTACCTACATCTGATAGATCCCAGCTAGGATGAAGCTGGTTGTATAGTTTCTGCTCCTGTTGGCCTATGCAACTGAAAACACTAGATAGGTTATTTTTCAAGCCTCCATAAATTCTCAGATTTAGTCATTTGCTGATCCAAAATATTCTCAGATTATGCAATACGTCTTTTGTCTTTTGCAATTGATTTTGTTTCCCTGAGTCATTTTTTAAAAACATTGGTACAGCTAGGAGCCTCAAAACCTGGCAGTGGGCCAGGCTTTCTAATTCTCTGAAAAGGCGGCATGGCGTCTAGAGAGCAGCAGACCAAGGACTGGGAAGGGAAAATTATATTCCAAAAGTTAAACCTGAACTTGGCATCATTCCTGAGCTGCACAATGTAGGTCCACAAGAGATTATGCATGTCCCTGCTAAGTTAACCCTTCCCAACCAGAGCAGGCGGGAGGAGATGTCTCCCCACACCTGCGGGAAAAGACGAGATGAGACAAATGCGTCCATACAGGAAAAGAGGCAAAAATGAATTCATACATGGCTCATAGGTTGGGCCGAGTTGGTAAAGGAATACATAAAAAAACAACCAAATGGTATCAGTGCAAGTACATTGATGGTGCCACCATCTCTCCCAGGGACTTGGTGCTTTCTGAGGTCATGCTTCTCCAAGTGTGGAAGCAGCAAGGCCGATCTCTTGGGAGAGATCCCAAGGCAGATGTGAGAGCAGTCTTCTTCAGGGGAGAGGACCCTCCAGCAGGCGTCTGAAAGAGTTCCTCTCAGCAGCTGTGACTTGCATTGTAGCTACTGAAACAGTTATGCCAGATCTGTGGAATCTGGAGACAAGAGAGAGACAGAGAATGAGAAATAAGAAAGTCTGACTACAGTAAAGCCATACAGAATAGACTTTTCACCTGGCTGATTAGTTTTAGGTAGGAGTCCGCAGAAAGCCAGTTTGGTGTTGTGGCTGAGGCACCAGGCCAGAAACCAGGAGACAGCGAGTTCTAGTCCCGCCTTAGGCACGAAGCCAGCTGGGTGACTTTGGGCCCATCCTTCTCTCCCAGCCCTAGGAAGGAGGCAAGGGCAAACCACGTCCAAAAAACCTTGCTAAAAAAACTGCAGGGACTAGTCCAGGCATTCCCCAGGAGTTAAAAATGGACTCAAAGGCAAAAAAAAGGCAAAGGCGGAGGAGGAGGGGTGTTGCCCTTCATGGTTAATCTGGCTGGTTTTTCGCTTTTTGTGAAGGGTGGATAAATGTCCTGGTTCCAAGATGCATCAGCAGTGGCCTGCCTACATATAGCTATGCGTCTAGATGATGTGCTGATGGGCTGGGCAAAGGATAGGGAATATAAAGAAGGTAGAGGAATTTGGGAGAGGGGTTTTAAAAAAAGAAAAAGACAAGCGCTAGAGAACTCTTTTTTTTTTTGGTGCTTTCAAATCAGCATTGACCCCTGGCGACTGTCTGGAGAAGTCCCTGCAGTTTTCTTGGCAAAGTTTTTCGGAAGTGGGTTGCCCTGGCCTCCTCCCTAGGGCTGGGAGGGAGGGACTGGCCCAAGGTCCCCCAGCTGGCTTTGGGCCTCAGGCGGGACTAGAACTCCCGGTCTCTCAGCTTCTAGTCCACTGCCTTTAACCGCTGCACTAAACTGGTTCTCTAGATAAAAATTGCCTTAATACATTTAAGTTCCAAAGCTCCAGAGTGCCATTTTTCAGCAGCTGTTGGTTCCTATGTAAGCCAAACAGGGCTGAGTTGCATGTTTCCTTGAAAGGATGCTACCTTTCATCTTTTTCCTGCTTGAGGCAAAAATGAAGCCTCTTCTGCCTCCTTGGTTAGCCTGTCTTTTTCATGTTTTCATGAATATTTTTTTTCATGAACGTTCCAGTACTTTCAATGACATTTTTCCCATGAAGAGTTCAGTCACTTTTCATACACTTTTCAGGGTCATTTGTATCGCTGTTGACCAAATCTGAGCCATCCACAGCCAGATGTAGTAGTGGATATAATTTTGCTTCCCATGCAACGTTATCAAAAATGTGTGATGATGGGATGGGAGAACACCTGGAAATTAGGCTAGACTGGGATGTTGAAAAGCCCATTGGAAGAAGGCAATGGCAGATCACTTCTGTATTGTGCCCCATCCCAAAAATGTCCTTATAGTCACCAGGAACTGAGCTTCTCTCAAGAGAATCTTTTCTATGAGGAGAAATTTGTATATTTTGCATACACATTTCCCTGTTTGCAAACTGAACTGGAAATTGGGAAAATGAATTTAAGGGTGGGCAAAAGAGAAACCAAATGAAATTGAAACTGACTGATATGCTGATCCCTTGCTTGGAGCACTTCCCCTACGCTACATCTGAGATACAATAATGCACCTTGTGTTCCTTGTGTCATATAGCAAGGATGAGGAACTTATGCATCTCCTTCTCATAGTTACTGGACCCCAAGTTCCATCAGCTCCAGCCAGCTTGTCCAGTGGTCAAGGATGATGGAAACAAAGGTCAACAATAGCTGAAAAGCTAGAGGTTCCCTAACACTGCCATAGAAGGCAATGAGAAATCTTGAAATCTGATTGGCCAGCTAGTCTCTCTGCATTATCATCCTCTGCATGCATACAGATACAGATACAGATACAGATACACATATTACCTTTCATACACAGAGAGATGTGCACAAACTCACACACCTCCATACTGGCATCATGCAGGCTTTTCCATGTCTGGCTCAACCTGACCACTTGAACTCAGCTTCTCAGCCATGCTATACAGGAATGGGATGTTGGATGGGACACTGGCCTGTGTAGGTATCAGAGAGAATGTCTCTGCTTAAGTGATGCTGCTTCTTGGCTAGTAAAATTCTGGATCTCTGGGTAACCAGGCAACTTTTCCTGGCCAGAACACACACAACAAGAACACCCCCTAGCGGTTTGCTGTCATATTAAATAATGGTCACTGTAATGAAATGATTACATATTCAAAAAATATTAATTTGCAGATTTATTATAAAAAGCAACTAGAGCCAAAAATTATTAATAATCATTATGACAGTTGCTATTATTAACCCATTATGCATTTCACAAACTACTATCTTGTGTCTGTTAGAACAGACTGAAACTCATGTGTTTGACAATACAAAGTGACAACTTTTGGATACTGCTTGTCAAGGATGTGCTAGCCCTCCTTTGCTTTTGAATGCTGCAGTAGGTTGAACTATTTATTTATTTATTCATTACTATTATTTATATGCTGCCTTTGAATGACTCCAGGTGGCTTACAACGGTACATTAAAAACATCCATAAAACCCCAAATATTACAAACGTTAAATTGTTTTTTTTAAATCTGCTGTTGTCTTCCATAAAACTCATTCCCCAAAAGATCCATGGAAGAGGAACCTCTTCAGCTGTTTCTTAACAAATAAAAGGGTGACAGCTGACTGGCTCTCCAGGAGCAAGCTATTCCAAAATGAGGGATTGCTGCTGAAGACACCACTCCATGGGTCCCAACCCACCAATCTCTCTAGGGGTGACCACTTGCAGCATCTTCTCCAAGCCAAATAGTACAGGATGGGCCTCCTGGAGTGGAGACAGACAGTTGGGTACCACCAGCGCTTTGATGATACCAGACTCTCAATTGATGGATGGCCTCTCTCGTGGTTTCCTGGGGATGCTAAAGATGTTCTTGTTCTTGCATGGCAGGTTCTGAATATTCTAAAGCCTGGAAGCCAGCATGGCTCTCACCAGTGCCTTCAAGGCTGTTACCAATGTGCCTGGACTGATCATCTGGAGAGTTGAGGTGGGATAAACGCAGCTTTTGTAATGCTAATTTGAAGGCTTCTTTCCTCTCCCAGCTTCACAGCAACCTGTTGAACGATCACCATTTCTTCACTTTGCATTTGTTCCATGTTGGGCATCTTTAGAACCTGGCACGTAGGTAACATCCAGCTAGATTGTAGGGGTGTTTACCAGTCATAAGACTGGATTGTGGACTGATTCATTCATCTGGAGGAAATTTGATATGACTCAGATTAAATCTGAGTGTTAGATTTGTTCTTTCCCCCATTGTTTGGTGAGCAAAGTTTATGAAAATAGCAGACCCTATGGAAGTACCATTTGTGCCCCCCCCAAAAAACCCTACCTTTCAAATTACTTATAAGATAGACACAAGGGTTGTGTAGCTAGCTTCTTTTAAATTCTAATGTAAAATATTCAGGATGCTTATATTTTTTAGCCAGAATTAGATGAGATTTGCAGGCAAATGATAACAGAAGATTCAACATCCCTCCCCCCAAATTAGAGAATACCTGGTGAAGTATTCATACTATTAGAAAATAGATGTGCCAATCACTGATCTCTTCCTCTTTTTCCCACCTGGCGTTTTAGGGAGATATGAAAACAAAAAGTAATGTCTTTCTGCAGAGTGTCTACTTTTCTGCAGCTGTCAGGTTCAGCCCAAAGAACTCCACGAGACAGTACAGATACAGTTCTGTTGCATTTATTAGCTTCAACCTCTCAGACAGAAATCTCTCCAGACTGAATCTACACTTCCCAAGCCAGCCAGCCAGCCAGCCAAAACACCATGAATTCCTTAGGGTGGTGCCAGTCTCATCTTCTTAACCTTCTCACGCTCCTCCTGGGGGCTAAGGAAATGCTTATCTCCCCAAGCGCGGCCTTCTTCAAACCATTCCATCACAGCAGCATTTGATTGTAGCTGGAGCCAGAGAGTTGACCTAAGGCATCTATTTGGTTCTGGATGCAGGATTTAACAGTATACTCCTGTAACAGACGGGGTGGGAACAGCTTTGAAGTGGCTATTCTTGTTAAGTTGTTGTTATTGCTGTGAAACTTTCCCAATTTACTGAAAATCACCCAGAAGTCTATCAGGAAACCCCACTCTACTTTCTGAGCATCCCTTAACTAGATGATTAAAACCAAAGTAAGCAATAAAAAGGGAAGTCTGGTGCAGACTCAGTTGCAGTAGAACAGTGTTTCTCCCACACCCGCCCCATTTTGAATTAAGAGAACTCATCTACCAACAATCTACTCCCCCCACCCACCTTGGCTGGGTATTGGTG